GTGACGTCACTACCCCGACAATACTGCGTCATAAGGCTCTCAATGCCGACAGCTTGACGGCGTTAAACGACATGATTCTTATGCCGACACTGCGATAATTCGCCGGCATTGTCGGCGAAAGATTTACAAATCATTTTCGTCGCATCATATCGACACAACTGCGAACAGCTGAAATTGATAAATATGTTAATTTATTTATAATAATTATTGTGTAATCGTAATTATTTCCTATCATAAAAGGGATTTTCTTTATTTCGTTTCATTTGCATGCGTGTTACAGAGAAGCGAAGTATCAATATGTTAATATCGTTTTAATGAAACGATTTACGATGTACGCTATACAATCTGTGACGTCATTAAACTAGAGTCTTACTCTTATTATATTGAAACAATTCTTCCATGGTCCAGTATTGTTCAGATCAAACGATGTTTTATTCATATATATGAATGGACCATTCAGACATCACAATCGATTGTATTCGATAATACTTGCGTGATATATAGGCATAATAATTATAATAAGCTACGAGCAAGTGTCTTATGTAGGGCACTGGGTCGCTCAATGTAAAAATATATTTACTACCTCCACAGTAGTAAAAAGCTTAGATTTTTGTATAAAGAGCTCTGACAAGTCTGAAACATTACACACTCTATGGCCTCTTGCGTTCCGTTACACCACAATTTTTTTAAGTATTTTTATTTAGTATTATTGTTATTGAAAAGGTGCAAAGTCATTTATTCTTAAAATAGTAGAATAGATAGTAATTATTCAATGGATTTTTTTTCTTTATAATAGTGGTATCAGTAGTAAATATTTCATTTCATATTTTTAATGTCAAAGTTCATCATACAAAAATTCAAGAATGAAATCGCGTATCTTTTTTTTTAATTTTAGAAAAAACATCTTTTATTGTCGTTATACATTATTTCCATTTAGTTTTGTAAAAGAAGGATCGTTGATTGGACGCAAATAACAAATTTTGACAGTCTTATAAAATTGAAATTCATTTCATATTTTATTGTATTTTGCTCTTATTCTCAATTTTTTATGTATTCTATTCTTCTTTTAACTTCATGCATTTATATACTCTTTGTTGTAAAAAAATATTTTGCATAATGCCCGATTTACATTATTCCAGTCCAGCAATCAGCGTTGAAATACAACTGGAATAATATAAAACCCACACTATATACATTGTAGCGATCGCTGGCCTGGAGAAATGTAATCCGGGCAAAACTTAGACAAATTTTTAGTATTGATTGGGTCTAAACATTTTATAGAATAATTTAATAAATCCTTTCAAACATTGTCTGGCGCGGTTATATTTTTTTTTAAATTCTTTCCTTTACTAGTGTAATTCGATGGACTTTAAAACATTTCCAAAATTAAATACTGTAAAATGTGTCTTAAACAAATGTATATTTTTATGTATTCGGTAGTTTATAAGAAATTTTTATTTATATAACGTTTTTTTGATGTAAATCTTTGTAGTTCCCATGTAAATGTGTACATAGTTTTTCGGAAGGTGGACGACTGAAGAACGTGATTGTATAATTTGTATAGGCCGTTTCAATAGTTTTGGCGGCTCGGTGTCACTGCGTTGTGCTCTGCTACACCTCTAATACACAGGGACTCGTACGATGTACCGAGCCGCTGAGATATTTGAATATATTAACAGTTTAATAATAAGTAGTTCATGTTCAAATACTTTGTACTATAGAATGTTATAACGCACGATTCCCCATATACTAATAATTCTTCCCGACAGTACTATTATAATAATTTTTCAAGTAATACGCTAAGCAATAATTATTTTTAAGTTTTTACTATCACAGATGTTGTAAACAACGGTTGAGCGACTTTGCTATTTTTGTTGTATTTTACCTCGTCGTTGGAGTCGTTCGCGTATTGGCATCACGATGCAAGCTGTCTTGTATTTAATATTTTTAATGTTTTATACATAAAAAGAAATATAAAACATTTCACACGTTAAATTTAGTACTATTTAGTTATTTTATTGCAGACGGTAAAAGTTCTAACTATGTCTAAGTCAGTAGTTCAGAAACCTGCTTTTTCATCCTATTTATTTCAACATTAGTTCCTATCCAGCCGCCCATAGATAAATAGATACATTCATGGAAGATATTTGTTTTAGAAGAACATTTTTAATTATATAATGATAAAAGTATTCTTGTCAAATGAGCAAGCAACCTCGGGAATACGGACATGTAATTAATTAGTATTGGGTTTATTTCTACTAGTGTCCTGGGCGTTTTTTCTACGGCGCCCTGGGAATTTTATCTACGGCGCCCTGGGCAGTCGCTTAACTGCGCCCTACCATAACGCCGTATTGTTAATTTAGTGTCATGGTAAAGAAATAAATTTTAGTTAGTATTTAACCGTTTTTCCGATGTAGCTGATACGGGACGACTCTAACTTCGTAACTTCAAACATTTCATAACTAGGCTATGAGTTGTAACAAACCATCATCTAAATTATATGTATGTTTATATTTTGGAGGTAATTATGATTATGTGAACAAATTAGAACAAAACAATTAGTTGTACTTTACTTGATTTTTAATAAGTGCCAAATGTTTTTATCTCATGTTCATTTTTTTATTCATTCATTGTATACCGCTTGATCTATATGGTAAAATTGTAAATCTACTATGAATTCAGTTTGTTTGGTTAACCCTAAATACTTTCTTACGTGTAAAATCGTATACAAAAATAGAAGTTATTATCAAATCATTTGTTTAAAAATAGGACTGAGTGAATGTTTTCTATTGTGTTCTAAAACTTCTGAATACCTCCAAAATCTGAACACGTATCAACAGAGGTCGCCATTGTTGGTGTTCAAAAACAAAGCTGCGTCTGTGATGTGGTGCCCTCTACCGCTCGCCTGAGCAGGTCTATATGTAACGTAGCGTATCTTTGTACATTGTAAAAGGACGCATAGCTATTTTTATAATGTTCGAGTAAAGTTTATGTTTTGTATTTAATGTTTTGTGTGCGAGGTTGTGCTGGCTTACGAGACTAACCGAGTATAACCACCTCTACACTATGTTGATTAAATAAACGATCATTAATTACATTTTGTATTATTGTACTACACCTTTTGGAAAAGCCTTCGACTAAATAGATGCAACAACGCCGTATGATCGACACGAAAAGCAAGTCCAAATTTAAAAAAACTTGTATTACGTATGACCTATGTCCAACTTGGACACACAGATAATAAATAACAAATGAAATAAGAGTTAAATAAAATTAATATGTAAAATTAATATTATAATGTATCAATATTCAACTCAATTATGTAATGTGACATTAATTATCTGAATAAAGACTTATTATTATTATTACTTCATATCTTTATTCTCTTATTTTTATATATAATACATTTCACATGATTTTCTTAAAAAAATAACAAAATAAAACATATTATATAAAAAAATAGTAAGTCCACCGGCTGCGGAATCCGATGACTCAAGCAACCAGTGGTCAGGGCTGCAGAGACAGGAACCTCCTCACTAGTCGTGCGGTTTCTAAAATAACCGCCTTTTGAATCCGGCCCTTAATCCAACTGTCTAGCGAGAGCTTCTTGAGGTGTTGGTCGAAGCTCTTCGCTATCAGCCCGTGTGCCGAAACGACTATCGGAATAATGGTAGTCGATTTCATACGCCACATGGCGGTAATCTCGTGAGCCAAATCCAAATATTTTAATAGCTTTTCATTTTCGGCTTTCACGAGATTCTCGTCATGTGGGATAGTGACATCGACTAACATTACACAACTCTCAGACCGATCTATTATTACTATATCAGGTCTATTGGCAGCAATAGTCCTGTCCGTAATAATAGATCGGTCCCAGTAGATCGTGATACGGCTATTTTCCAGAACTGGTGTAGGCTGATATTGGTAATATGGTACCTCAGATTCCACAAGAGCATATTTAAGGGCAAGTTGCTGATGGATAATCTTGGCCACTTGGTTATGTCTATGCAAGTATGCACTGTCCGCAAGGCGAGAACAACCGGAAACGATATGTCTAATAGACTTATTATTATTATTATTACGTATGACATCACAAATGAACTAAAAGAAGCGTTATGGCCAAGAATTAGCTGATATATTTTTAAGGCATTTTAACCTAAAAACGCGGTTTCTTGTCTATTTCATTCAAAGACAACAATTTCATACGTTTCTTTTTTAATTCAGGACCAACTAGTTAAAAGTATTTATAGTGTTAGAAATCAAAAAATGTCTTTTATAATTCATATTTATTTAATAACTAAAGAATTATTTTACATTTTTTTTTTCAGTACTGATTTGAACTTAATGATAAGCATGATCACAAAAGTTGATTAAAAGTATATTGTTCAGAACATTAATACCAAAATAATCGAGTTAAAAAAAATCGATAGTTTTACAGAATTTTGCAATTACAGGTCGGGAGTAAATTAAAAAAAACATGTATTACAACTTATTGTAGAAATCACAGAGGTAACATGAAAAAAACACAAGTTATTTAAATTCAATATGACTTTACGATTTTATTACTTTGGCAATTTTACTCCTGATAGAGTTGTGAAAAACAAAATTTTGGAATGAATAACAAAATAAAGCAAATACCACATTTATAGACAATTTAATAACATTTAATTAGATTTATGTCTAAACTAAATCTATGAGAAAAACAGATTTTTCTACACAAAATACTTAATTATAGAATAGGTTCGAGGATATTTCCTCAGTCAATCTGTATCTCCCATTTAAATGAGATACTATCTTAAAATAAAATTTGCATACTTTTTTACAATACAAAATACAATTTAGTTAAAGTCAAATGACCACTCTTGTTAATTCTGTTCAGCTAGTGTTTTTTAAATTATTTTTTAATCTATATATAGTTAGACCTCCCTTAGCAGTGATCTCTATGTAATCTGCATAAGACTGAGAGCAGTGTAATTTTTTATTCAATCAACTCAAAATATCCTATTATTCGATGGGTTAAAATTTATAACTATTGTTTAGTGTTTTTTAATGATTTAATGCTACAAAAGAAATTTCAGTTTTATTTTTTATATGTGCAATTTATCAAAATTGGAGTTTTTTCTGCGTATTCTCTTTCAAATACAACATCAATAATTTTTACCACTTAATAAATTTTAAGGAGGTATTTACCTCATAAAAGGCTAACAATCTAATTTATATTACAAATATGGCAGCCCAATAGCTGGTAAATTATAAATTTACAAAAATAAACCTTCTAAGATAACAAAAGCACAATGAAAAAAGCCTAATGTAGCATTTAAAATTATATGTACATAATTTAAAAAATCTAACTTATATTAAGAGCAATATCAATTTTAACGAATAACGAAATAAACATTGATAAAAATATAAAATATACCATATGATGAGTATTTTCGAAAATAGGTGTACTTTAGTACAGTTGCCTTGACTTTGATTTGAAAAAAGAAACGAAAAAGATGCGCTTACATGATTTTAAAACAGAAAATAACCACTGAAATATATATAAATGATAACTTTAAACTACAACTGAACTATCCAAATAATTTAAAAGATCTTTATTTATGGCTTAAACATATTTAACACGCGTACCTACACAGTAAACATATACATTTATATAACATTTCACTGCACACTTCAACAAAGTTTCGAAAACATTTGTCACTTATAGTGGAGAAAACTTCAGTTTTTTCCGATAGCTTTGGTCAATTACACTTACCCTTAAAAGACACAGAACCTTTCAGTTCCACATTGAATGTAACTAATCAGTTATATTTCAGTCATCTATAGTTATGACGTTTACAACATCTTCACTGTCGCTGTTGTCGTCCACCAAGTTGACAACATTATCCGCCGTGTCTTCCTTCTGCTGGTAAAGCGACAGAACATCTGATATAATGGGCGCATGAACCATTTCGTGAATATTCAGATCTGTGGAATTTTGACTCTCCTCATCCTGTGTAATATAATCAGTTCCAGGTACATTCGGTTCCACGACCATCTCGTCATCATCGTCGCTATGCCCATAAAATTTCTCATCGTCTTTCTCGTCTTGAGGCGTGTACGAATTAATAAGGGCTACGAGGTTCTCGTCACAGGTGAACACTTTCGAAGGATTAGAATCCTCTTTGTCGCATTGGTGCAGTGAGAACACCTTGTGCGAGGTGAAGTACTTGCGGCACAGCTGGCACTGGTTCTGAAGATGCGCGCGGTAGTGGTTGTGCAGGTTGGGGAAGAGGTCGCCGCAGACGACACAGGACTCGGGGCGTACCATGGCACGGTAGTGCAACTTCTGCTTGCATTTGTGCACAGCCCTCATGTGGCGTATGAAGGGCCCGTAGCGCACGAACTTCTCCCCGCACTCTCGACATTTGATCGGCTTCTTGTTGTACTTTCTGCTGCGATGGGAGAACGCGTGGATGTTGAACGCGTCGATAGTTTTAAACTTGAGCGGACAGAAGCGGCACGAGATGGACCCCGACACCTTGTGGATGTGATCGTGCAGCCGCTGCGAGTTCTTCTTCGTCGTGGGCTTGAAACAGAACGAGCACTCCTCGTATTTCGGTCTAGAATCACTTTCGTTCATGTCGTCGACCTCTTCGTCGCTCTCTATCGCGCACAGGTGATTATCGTAATCGATCTGAGAATAGAAATACTCTGAGCATTTTTTACATCTATTCTCTTCGTGATACGTCAAATGTTTGTGGAGATTGAAAAATGTTTTGTTGCAAATATGGCACTTCTCCTCTATCGACTCCTTGGGCATCACGGCCCAATCCTTGTCGTCCCCGTGGACGTCCCTCATGTGGTATATGAACTCTCTAAATGCGACAAAAGTCTCATCGCAGTGTTCGCACTTGGTCGGGTTGTCAACGTTCAGCTGCGAAAAATGATGGTTTTTATGTTTCTTAAACACCGTCAGCGTATTGAACTTTCGGTTGCAGTACAGGCAGCCGTAGAAGCCGACCGTGCGATGGTAGACCTTATGAGTACTCAGAGCGTACTCGTTCTCGAACACTTTAAAGCAATAATCGCAAACGATGTCCTTTTTACCTTCAGACACCTCTTTACAAACTTTAACATTGTGCTGAGTTCTCAGATGACAGTCCAGTTTCACTTGAAGGTGAAAAGCTTTGTAACAGATATGGCACTTCACTTTCCGCGGATGCACCTCCGTGTCGCCGACCAGCTTCTTCTTCTCGCAGCTAAAAGCGAGGTGGCCCTCTAGGAACCGCAGCGAGCTGAAGTAGTCGAAGCAGTAGTTGCACCTCAGCGAGTTGTGGTAGTCAATGTGCCGCTCGAAGTTGCCTTTGCTTGCGAGTATCTTAAGGCAGATGGAGCACTGGAACTCTTTGAGAGGCCCGTTCAGCGTCTGCTCAGTGCGCTCCGCTATCCACGTCTCAGTGATGTCGTGCGCGTCGCGCAGGTGGTAGTGTAGGTCGTATCCTCGGGTAAAGGTTTCCTCGCAATGCATGCATTTGAGAGGCTCATCTAAATATTTTTGTGTCAAGTGACCTTTAATGTGTACCCGGTGATTCTTCAGCGACATGGTCTTCTTGCCACAGAATTTGCACTTGAAGAGTTCCGGCTTCCTCAGGTGGGCTTCCTCGTGGTGTTGCAGTCTGCGCTCGTCGAGGAACACTTTGGCGCACAGTTTACACGAGAAGTAGCTCTGCTGAGGCGCGTCCGGATCGTTCTTTATCATTTTGCTCTCGGGATGCGTCCGCCGCAGATGCCGGATGAGTTTAACGAGGTCGGGATAAAATCGGCTACAAATGGGACACTTAACTTTGTCCTTCCTGAGCTTCGCTATCCTCGCCTGGTGCGATTGGTTGTCAAAGTTATGTCCCTTCACGTGTTTTCTGTGATAGACTTCGTCAGTGAAACCTTTGCCACATATCGGACATTTGTAGGGGCCGTTGTCGTCCTCGTAATGTGATCGGACGTGCAACTCCAGCGTCCTCTTGTTGGTAAACATAATACCGCAGATGTTGCACTCGTGCCGGGCGCCGAAGAGTGAGGTCTTGGACTTGTGCCATATGATGTGGTGCTTGAGCGAGACCTCGGAGTCGCAGATCTTGCCGCAGTGGTGGCAGGTGTGCCCGGCGACGGCGGCGCGCGCGGTGGCGGGCTCGATGCCGACCACGGTGTTGTTGGCGCTGTCACCGCGCTTGTAGTGTATCGCCATGTGCGACAAGTACACCTTCCGGAACTGGAAGACTCTCTTGCAGATGGAGCACTGATAATCCTTGTTCTTGAAGCGCGTCTGCTTGTGGAAGTTCATGTGCGCCTGCGCGGCGCGGAGGTGTTTGCTCCGGCGGTTGCAGATGGTGCAGGTGAGCAGCGCGGGATCCAAGGTGGTGTCGTTGTAATGTTGCCGCATGTGCACCCGATAGTGACACTGGAAGCGGAATGTCTGCAAGAGATATTGAAACAAATAGATATTGAAAGGTTGATATGACGTTGGTGGACGTCAGACGTTGATATGTGAATTTTGGTTACTCGTTTTCAAATTTTACTAAAGGCTACCTGGGTCAAAGGAAGAAAACTTTAAAACTGATTAAAGACCAATAATGGATGCTATATATGCTTACCTCTTTGCAGACAAAGCACTCCAAGATCTTTTCAATGTTGTTGCCGACATTAGAATGCCAGTTTATGTGCCTCTTGAGCGACACCAAGGTGGGCATCTGCTTGCCGCAGGTGGGGCAGGTGAAGCCAGTCAGGTTGACTAGTGGCGCGGAATCGTGCACCGACGGAACCGTCACGAGGTCGTCGCGGCCCTGACCCGAGGTCAGAGGTTCCGTCTTGGTCACGACGACCTCACAAAAATCCGCCAACTCCGCGCGCTGCAGCTTGGGCGCCTGTGGCTGCTTCAATCGGTGCACGAGCTTGATGTGCGTGGCCAGCGAGCTGCAACTCTTGAACTTCTCATTGCATTCCGCACACGTGTACAGATTACGAGGCTTTATGTTAACAGTTGTGTGCTTTTGGTTGTGCTCGTTTATTGCACTCACTTTCATTTCTATGTCACATATGAGACACTTCACGCTGCAGTCTTTGAGACTAATTTTGGCTCGCCTCGTGCCCGAGCTCATATTGTGTTTGGTCTTTTTGTGCTGAATCAAGAGACGTTTGTAAGAAAAATGCTTCTCACAAATATCGCACGTATTGTCGTCATCCTCTTCCTGGCTAGATTCTGACTCTGACTGCTGGTTGGATTCACTCAGCAAACTGCTGTCCATCTCCTGTGGCTCTTGTTTAATCTCTATTTCTCCGTCCAAGTGCTTCTGCTCGTGTGTAACCAGGGCTTTCTTGTATGTGAATCGTTTATCACACATGCTACACTTCAAAGGCCCAGAAGGTACATTAGGATTTGAGTAGTTTGTTAAATCTGATGCATTGTCTGTAGGACTTTCACTGAAATTGGAAAATAGAATAGATTATAAAAACACAAATATTTAGCCTGTATCCAATAAAAAATTTATTATAAGTTAAACTTTTAACAATGCCAATACATGATTTTTTTGGCGATTGATTAAACATGACTTGTTTTTGAATTTCCGTTTCGAACATAAAGGATTCGTTTGACACTATCAGCACTTCCCACAACATATTTTCAATTCAAACATACCGTGTATTGACTTCAGCCATTTCCTCTTCGCCCATGTTGGACATATGCCCAGCTAAATGACTTATGAGCTGATCTTGTGTCACCATCTTCTTGCTACATATGCGACATTCAAATGACCCTTCAACAGATTTGTCCACACTCTTGTCTAAATTCCCACTAACAGACAAATGCATATTTTTTATATGAAGCAAATAAGTGCTTGTTTTAGATAAAACTTTGCGACAGACGGGACAAGTGAAAATAATAACATCTCGCTTTTCTAAACATGTATCAAAGTGTTTGCAATAAACATTATAGTCGTCGAATGGTTGCGCACAGAAATAGCAAGGGACAGCAGGAGCACCGTTTTCGACTATTTGCTCATATTTATCGCGTTTAAGAACAGCCGCATGGACAACCCTCATGTGTTTCTCCAGGTTCTCTATTGTTTTAAATTTGGTTGAACACATATCGCAATTGATCTTATTTTGTAAGGAAACAGAGTCAATAGGCTCCAGTGACACCTGCAACTCTTTAATTGGTGAATTTATTACTTTACCACATGTCTCTTGGTGGCGTTTCAACATTATTTTCAACTTAAATTTCCTGTTACACTTCTCACACTCCATCTTATCCTCAATATCGTTTGCATTCTCAATTTCTTTCTTCTCAACAGGCGGAGGTGTATTAACTGTAACATTTTTGTAACTTTTCCTTAAATGCACTTTGGAATGTGCAGACACACTTTTTTGTGAAGCAAATTCTTTGCCACATACTTTGCATTTGAATTCATTCTTCGATGGTTCATCTGAGTCAGTTTCCGCCGAGAATTGGGACCCACTGTTGTCTTCATAATCAGAGTCTGTGTAAGTTGAATTTAAAGATTTTTTTTGCCTTTTCTCTGCAGCCCGAAGTTCTGCTACTCGTTTAGTAGAAGTAGGTCGATAGTCATATGATTGACCACTGGATGACGTATTATCCACACTTTCCGCACTCCGCTTTCTGCTCCGAGTGGCAGGAGATACTTTTGTGTCTGTCGGTGATGTTGTGACCTGGGTCTTAATGGACACATCTGTGTTGTTGGAGAAAGCGGAGTCACTGCTCTGCCTGTTTGTGGGCGAGGGTATGGCACTGAACCCTGGTATGAATACAAATTATAAAGATATAACATAGGAATATTAAATTAATATATGAGACTGCCTAATCTTCTAAAATGACAATACAAACTCTCCCTATAGCAATTTTTTACATTCAAAATGGAGCAAACAAATATAAAGCAAGTAAATGTACATAGTAAAGATAAAAACAGTTGTATTTACCGGGTGGAGGGACAAAATTCCGTCGCAACTCCTGATCCGATCTTTCACATTGCTGCTTGAATATATGTGCACTGCTAAGCTTCTGTATACACTCTGAGCATATCTTGTCTGGTAGACCATCACTTTCATATATCTTAAAATAAAGTACATAAAGACTATAAATTATCCAATAACACATCTCCAGTAATTGTCATTCATAAATCCACCTTAATCATGAAATTGAAGAATTAAGCTGAAACTCGTGTCTTAACTCAGAACATACTTTTTATTTAATTTCATATAGAATCATAAGGTTGATATTGTTTTAGCTTCTGCAGTTACATCAGATTAAACTTGCATCAGACATATTAGCCATTTTTCGTTAATTTTACAAAACCAGAACTGTGTAACATGGACAAAAGGCAATTATAATACAGATTAACGTAGTTGTAGTGAGTGAAAACGTATTTACAAATCTAAAATGGCATTTGAAAAACACTATTGTTACTCAAATAAGACAATGTATATCGCAAGGATTTTACCTTTACTCGAGCGCATTCCATAACCATCTCCGCGAGCTGTAGGTTGTTATCCATAGTGAAGATGGAATAAAAGTCGCCAAGTTTGAGGCAGAGCCTACATTTTCCGAGCTTGAGGGCCATATTGATTTCTTTACACCAATCTTCATGACACTACAAAATCGCATCTGCGAAGGCGAAGTAATGTGTTGTTTTACATCCATAAGAATGAATCATTATCAACATTATTACTATCTAAACCATCCAAATGCATATTTACCTTTCACGTGGTAAATTAAAACAAGATAAATGTACCTGGCTTGCCGGCAAACTCCATTATTGGTTGTTATTGGTTTAGTTTGGTTTGCTTTATTGGTACAGCAACTGCAACTGGTATTGCTGGTATACCTTAGCAAAGTTACTAAAACAGGATATACCAGTACCAGTACCAATACCATTCCATTATTGATTCATTGATGGAGGAATAAAACATTTTTTAGAAAATAATTACAATGAATAAATAACATAATTAATAGACCTTTTAAAGTTTTAAACGATGACCGCGAAAATATTGTAGGTTTTTATTGCAATGTCTACTTCTACTTTGTTTAATAAATACCAGCAAATCAATGTTGCCAACAAAAACTTAAAACAAAAAATTTCCCTATACGGTGGTCCGTAACACTCATGGATGTACTACTAGAACAGGATTGAGTTCAGCTCTTGTCGTAAAACTGAAGCCGGGCGAGATGCGAGATCTTATTAACTGTACCTTTTATCCCTCTCTGACAATGCTAACCATGTTGAAATATGATTTTAGAACATTAATGAAAAAATCTTGTTTTTGTTGTCAGACATCAGCAAATTACTTCTTCAAATGGATTTTAATGTATTAGTGTTATCATTGATGAGTTACCAAAAACAATACAAAACTCATCATTCTAAATCAGATATTGCTAAATAAAAAAATTATAAAAGGCAAGATTCATGGAAAGCGAAGTGTAGATCGAAGAAGAACGTCCTGGCTAAAAAACCTACGCCAGTGGTATGGACAGAGCACACGTTCACTTTTCAGAGCCGCGATGTCAAGAACAAAAGTCGCCCTAATGTTCGCCAAACTTCGAAATAAGAAGAAACCTAGCTTATTCCTTACATCTAAAATCGGTAATTAAAACAATGTTATTTAAATAGAATAAATAAATGCATAAGTGTTTATTTGTTCTTGAACTAGGATTGGATAGTCATGCGTGATCACCGTAATTCTTCACCAATTTTTGTCTAAAACTAACCTAACGTCAGAGTCGGAAATTCATGTGGGTACAAACCCAGGTCAGTTCCGGTGTCCGAATTTCAAACGCCCTTTCAAACGCCCCGACCCTTACGCCCTTAGTGTTAGGATTTTTTTATATATTTTAACCGCAATATATACACATTGAATGCATTCCAGTTATACGTAATACTTATTCTTCAATGGGTGCAATACAGATGAGTGAGATGAGGGAAGAGCGAAGGCAATAGTCTTGGGTAGTACACGTACGATGTACTAAAAAGTAATGTTACTCGGCACTGTACTAAAAGTAACGTTACCGAACGGCTTCTGTTAATTGGACATTTAGTACTTTTAGTACACTACACGATATCGGTGTTCGCCTTTTTGTCAGATTGAAGCATCCACCTTCGATAATGAGAATCAAAAGTGGATAAAATTATTCATAACTAAATTTATTTTCGCTAATAACATATGTTTGACCCTGCTTAAAATTTGATGTGAAGTAATACATAGCCCTTGTTATATTTTATACATGTATTATGTTCTCACAAACATGCTTTTAAATTAACTTAAATGAAGCTTAAATAAACTCAACAAAAGAACAGAAATAGTGCATTTTTAAAAAGATAACAAATTTAACTGAAATTGCTGCGTACTACGTACTCGTAATTCGAGTCAACTCGATTCACTCGCAACTCGAGTTGTCAAAAATTTCACTCGAGTCCGAGTAATATAAAAATAATTCGAGTCACTCGAGTGAAAAGCATCTTATGATATGACATATTTATATTCTATTTGTATTTGTTGGTATTGAAATATTGAACGCGATGAGATATAGCCATTTATATCATTGATTCTTGAAATGCGCTGACTGAAAGTGTGCGCCGTAAAAGTCAGTACGCAGGAAAGATTTTGCAGGCTTTACTATTTTTTTCGAAAATGGAAGGCATAGAAGATATAGTGATTCACGCACGACAACTTTTGGCAGTTGGTCAATTTAGTAAATCCTTTGATTTATATATTTCGTTATTTGAAAAGAGTCCCAGAATTAAAAACACGTATGAACCAGAATTCCAGATCGTTATGATGCGATACAATGAAACGTTGGGTGCGTCTGGGAAGATTGAAGATATTTTTACTAACTTCAGTCGCGCTATTAAGATTTTTCCTAGAAATGTATACCTGTTGAATGAGATTGGCAAATATTTGTATAAGTTCGGTTATTACGAAGAGGCTTGGTCTCATTTCCAGAAAGCACTCAAGGGAAACTCTGCTTTTGTGAATGCCGAAAAGAATTTGAATTCTGTAAAAAATTTACTTGTTGAAAGATGGCATTTTCGAATGCTAAATGACAAAAAACGAAACTCATTGTTCCATGCCGCTATTCATGAGACAATTAAATCAGATGTGGACCAAGTGTTGGATGTCGGCACTGGGACTGGCTTACTGACCCTGTATGCTTGTGAGTGCCAGCCCCTAGACATTGCTGCATGTGATGGCTCCAGTGTTATGACAAAAATAGCAGAGAATTTATTAACTGACTATGACATTAGTAGTGTACCCATTATAAACAAGATGTCCACAGCTATGAATTCCAAAGAGCTTGGTTTCAAATGCTCTGTCCTAGTCACTGAGTTGTTTGATGCCGGCTTGTTTGGAGAACATGTGTTGCAAACATTATTGCATGCTTGGGATAACTTGATGGCTGTAGGTGCAAAAGTCATTCCCAGTAGAGCCGAGTTCTTTGTGGCTGGTGTTAATTGCAACTCATTAAATTTAAAATATCAATTGAGAGAAGATATTAAAACTACATTGAACATACCTCCAATGAATATACATGTGATGACTGACAATGAAACATATGACTGTGAGGATGTACATTCTTATAAAGATTTAAAATATATAACCGAGGGGCAGTCTGTCCTCAAAATCGATTTTAAAAATTATGATGACATTCAAGATAAATTGTATCAAACAGAACCATTTAATGTAGACTTAACTGCCATCCAAGACGGTGAAATAAATTGTATGATTGGTTGGTTTAACTTGTATTTGACAGACAATATTACTATAACAACAGATCCCCGCTCTGAAGAACGTTGCAATGCTTGGCAGCAGGCTGTTTTCTTTGACATGATACCAAAAGAAGTTAAAAAGGATGACAGCTTCACTACACATTTTTTGATGAACAATGGCAAACTGACTATGGCCCAGGATTGCAACATTCAGATTGACAGAATTTCTCCTGAAGCATTGAGATTTTTAAATGATTCAGAATATGTAAAGATGATACTTGGATGCGTCGGCATGGCTAGTGTCCACCTTGGTCAAATGCTTGAGATGTCAGAGGTTGCTGTTATGGATTTATGTCCATTCCCTCTGTTTGGCCTTCAAATGTTGAAGAGAGGTGCCAAATCCCTGACCTGCACTGCCAGAACTTTCAATGATGAACAATTCATTATTAGGATTGTACATGCCTATAATTTAGACCTATCAAAAGTTAAAATACTAGTGGGCGAAAAGTGGAAACTCGATAAAGTTGGTAATATATTATTCCATGCTATTTTTTGCCATCCTTTCGAGATATGTGGGGACATTGATCTAAGAATGAAAGACATAGCTCATATTCTGAAGACAAACCATTTGGCACCAAGAGGTATTTATATGCCATCCAGCATTAGCATTATGGCCCAATTGGTTAATTGCCCCTGGCTAGATGTTAATAACAGAGTTTATGATGAAAACACATTGAATTACAAAGTGGCAGGATACATGAATGTTTATCAAGTATCGCAGAACTTCTGTATTGATATTTCATGTTTGGAACACACTCCCTTAACTGAGCCAACATGTGTTGGTGATTGCTCCTCAGATTTACAAACACAAGTTATTAATTTATCAGTAATTAAAGATGGTTATACAAATGCCATTCTTTGCTGGTATAAAATTGAGTTGATGGAGGAGGTGGATGAAGTATCCACAAACAGACCTGATGGCTTTATAGACAGCATGGCATTTCTTTCAGTCCCTGAACTTCTAATGAATAAGGGAGATATTGCGACTATATTAAATAGCGTAGATGGTAGCGGTAGTTTTAAGCTAGTTGTTGATATCTAAAATTAATGCTTACAAGTTAAATGCTTTTCTTGTACTACTTACCACAAGTCATAAGATTTAACATTTTATCATACTAAATAGATATGTGAAAATTACCTCATTTGTTCTACTTGACAGATCTCATTGCAAAATCTTAACCCATATGATACTTCGTATTTTACCTTTATTTTCCATAGGATAGTATACTATTGTGTAAGTGAAAATCATATTTTACGACCTTTACTAGTCATAATTTAAGTACATTACTGAGTAAATATTGGAACCATGTACATTAAATCCATTTTTTTTTCTTTTTGAGCTAATTATGTGATTTTAGTTAATTCAAATATCTTTAATGTACGAGTAGTTAAGTGTTAATTTATTAAATAGCATAATGTGAAATAACTTTCTTCAGGGATTTTGTCGCGTTTATTGTATTTTTTTGATCTGATGACAAATTTGCTGGCGATGTGTTTTTTAACTTTGCGCATATTACATTTTGAAAATATATATAGAACAATGACCTTTATAGATATCCAATGGATAGCAAGCGCTAATTGAGGTAACTGTTAGTTAATTTTGTCTTAATTAAGTTTATAACAATATTAACGGGGCAGAAATGGCAAAAACCAGATAAGCGCAAAATACAACGTAGCATAGTCTGTTCAGTGGAACGTAAAGGTCAGTGTTTAAGAATAATCCAGCATGTAAAATATGAGGTGAAAACATCAGGGTTTGTTCCCTTATCTGACAGTGACATTATTTTTAAGCTATCTGAGCCGCTATCAGCCAGTGGTGGGACATGCGCTTTATCTTACATGTAAATAGCTCTTTTGTTTCTTAACCAGATGAGGTAAGTTTGTTTTATTTTAACATTTAAAATATTAAAATAATCATGTTACTGAATATTTGTGGTATACCACTGTATCTATACTAAAAGTAAATAATTGTCTGCATCCTTAGCTAATATATAATGTTGCTATATGTGCTTGTAAAACATTCCATCAAAATTTATGTATTATAACCTAAAATAAAAAAAAAAGCAAAGAACCCGATTGACTGAGTATAACACTTGATTCGTTAAGAATATAAATGCTACTATTGAAAAAAGAATTAGGGTCTGTTCCATTAAATTGTAAATTGTTTGACAACATGTAAAATGTGGTAGAGATATCGGATTTTGTTCCCTTATTTGACAGTGACGTCATTTTTTAGTTATCTAACAGCAGTGGTGGGACAGGCTTTTAGCAATGTAAAAGAAGAGTTTCGAAATCGGTTTTTAGATCTTGTTTAGAATTTCAATTACCATGTCTAGTATATGTTTTGTACTAATGTTTTTACATACATGATAATCCAGAGAAGACGTAATGAATGACAACTCGGTTCGGTCGTCTAGTCACAATGGACTTTATTTAATTTTTTACGTACATTTATTACGTATATTTATTACTTCATACGCGCAAAAATGTTTCGGTCAGTCGGGTAAAAAATATTTTGAAACATCTAAATGTAAGATTAAAAGGAAAATAAATCGATGTTGTGACGTTATTCAAATAAAATGGATTTCAAAATGAAATGGCTTTAATTCTTTTCCTAACCCATACATTTTTAATTTTATATTTTTTCATATTAACATTCTTTAGAATATCTTCATGAACGAGATATGAAGGTTTCTCAATTTTTTTACATTAAGCTCCCTTTTACCGTTACTTGGATTATGTTATACTAGCTTTCGCCAGCGACTCCGTCCGCGTGGAATTAAAAAAAAGACAAGTGATTTTTTTAATGTGCCTCTGTGTTCTTCCAAACTATCATCTACATCTATACTAAATTTCATCTAAATCCGTTCAGCCGTTTAGGCTACAAACTCTAACATCCGTGCATCTATCCATCCATCTAAACTTTTGCATTCATAATAATAGTATGATATGATTTTTTATTGAAATAAAATTACAATAAATGTTCTTATTTCTTTATTAATAACATATCTCTCAATGTCCTCCCAGTACTATTAACTTAGGTATTAAACAACTACAAAATCCAATTGCATACAAAAATATTTATAAATTCATATTCTCTTTCACGAGAAATAAGCTCTACATGCACGTAAAGTTGTGACTTAATTGTCTATAACAGTTTTTATTTAGCTATTAAGACAATAAACTGAATAGGATAGGCATAAAAGAAAAAATACAGATAAAAAACTAATTATCAATTATTTCTTAATAATAATCGATGTTACCGAAGAAAAAAAAAACACGTTGAAAAAAGTCGTTAAATAATTTATAAATAATATTTCTAAATGTCCACATCATTGTCATTTATTATAAACATTTTATTTTAACTCTATATCCGTATAAGCAATCTTGCGCATTTCGGGGTAGTCAGCGATAAAAATTTACATCGCATTTGCTACAACGAAGATTTTTGAAATTAAAATGTCATGTCTATTTGTCTAAATAATGGATAATATTATCAACGGCAACTGCGACCTTAAATGAAGTCTACATTGTAACTTTGCCGTGCCCACTCGGAAATCCTAGAATCGATATTTCTAATTCGATTCACAATCGGAGGCATTCATCTGTTTTCCCCAACGTAAAATCGTTATTTCTCTTTCGATTTGAATGTAATCGAACAGAGAACACGTATAGTTCTCTCTCTTTCTATCGTGACGTCACGTGATGTTTCAGCTAACGCAAGTGAGGTTTGCGGCGCCCAAGTTGATGTCATTCAGCCGCGCGCGCCTCCGACAAGATTGTGCGTGCTTGCTCCAGCGCTTTCCTGTACACAACAATTAAAATCATTTTTTTAAAGAACATTTTTGTTTGAATAACTCAAATTACTGGACTGATCGGAAAAAAACATTTTACAGTTAGAGAGCTACATTATTACTGAGTAACATCTATGTTTTTTTTTTTTTGATTTGGTGAGGCGAAGTTAAGAAGATAAGTAAGAATTTTAGTTTTTCAAAAATCAAAAACAACGTGTTTTAGGATCAGAACACTGTTAGTAGTTGGCACACAGTTGCGACCTATGGGTACCTGTGAGCTAGAAGCACGTGTAAACAGTAACTGGGATACAAGTAGCTAGCACTTTTTCGATTTTGTGAGATCTTGAAAGAGAGACCTTTGAGATAAAATGACCTTTTATTGGCATGTCAGCTATTTCTCTGTTATACTAGCACGTGTACTCCGGCTTTTATATAGTATAGTGTGTACATACAGATGCATAGGGTTGTCGGAGTGCAGTCGGGAGATAGCGAGCTGTGCGAGGCGCGCGAGGCGGCGCAGCGCGCTCGCCCGCAGCGCGCCCGCGCGCGGCAGCGTGTCCGCCAGCGCCGCGCCCGCCGCCGCCGCCTGCACGCCCGGCGCCGCGCCCGCCGCCATGCACAGCGTGTCTGCACCAACATATTGTACATTTGTGTCCTTTTGCATATTTCAATACAGTATTAACGATTTAAAATAAAACATAAAATTATTGCAATTTTTAATCATAGATTGTGTTAAGAAAATCAGTATTACGCTGGAGGATTAGCGCAACACTATTATTGACATATACGTCCCGTCCCTATCTGACATCTGTCAATGTCATTCAGACGTATGACAACAGCGCGCCATTTTGAGTTTGTCACGTTGTTACAATTATATCAATATCTATCAATTGAAAGAACACTTTGGCATTTTTTAAAAATTCTGTACAGACACATTAGCGCGCTAAAGTTAATATAACATAAAATATAACACGATTCATAATTTGCAGTTATCAACGTCCAATGTATGGATGATTTGAACATAGTATGTATAAATGTACCAATAAGTGAGAGCACGAGTGCGTCCGCGTTGAGCGTGGGCGGCGGGGCGCAGAGCGCGAGCGCCGCGCGCAGCAGCCGCACGCCCGCGCCCACGCAGCGCCGCCAGAACGCCCCGCCCGCGCCCTCCAGCACACTGCGATATCATACACTCTTATTAACAAAATACACTCTTTTTGCGGGTGGCAGCTGCAACAAACTCATATCTAGCACAAATTTTAAAATATATTGGGTTTAATTATAGTTTTATTGTTCTTCAATAGATATAAAAAGTGTATGAAAGCCTTATTCTCTTCTTTATCTCTATGTAATGTACGGTTTCTATCTATACTAACATAATAAAACGTAAATACACACTTATTTGTTGTGTAAAATCTCAACAATCATTAAATATATTTTTGAATCAATATCCTTTTTTTTAAATGCCCTACACTACGTCAAGCTATAGGCTACATATTCTTATGCTTCTTAATTTCGGAAATTCGGAATCTTGCGAATGAAGCCGAACGGGAACAGCTAGTATAGTATAGTCTTTTTTACATAAGACTTGCTGTTGCTCGCTACTTTACCCGCATAAAATAAAAACAATTACCCTATTTTACTCAATGATAACGTAGCTTTTAATTGTGTAAGAATGATTTAAATCGGTTATTACTTTTTGAGTTATAAAAATACAAATCTTTCCTCTTTGAAATATCTGCATAGAAAGGGAGGTGAGACGTAAACACCAAGTTCAAAATAGTTTGTATTACTGCGGTGGTAAGGGTGGCAGGAAGACGTCAGCGTGCAGTGTGGCGGCGAGCCTGGCGCGCGCGGCGCCCGCCAGCCGGCGCAGTGCGGCCCCGCCCGGCAGAGCGCACGCACGCTCCAGCACGCGACGGAGGCGCACGCATGCACGCACGCATACTGGGTCCCATGCGTGCTCCACCAGCTCTAAAATAATATATTGTCACATTGTTACGTGGTTTATCGGCTTTTAATGAAAAATTACATGTTCCCGTGAGATTTTATAGTCACAAAAATACTATACCCTTTCAGTTGCCAATGTCAAAATTAAAACAACAGAGTTCCTTCCGATTTGCAAATCGTAGTTATAAGTATTGCGTCACGCATTTTGATATAAAAATGCAATTACAAATGAGTATAGCAAAAAATATAGATTTGGACAATTTGTATTTGCTATTTCCAACTTCTGATTATCCGTCCGCGTGGAATTAAAAAAAAACTGTTGCCTATGTATTCTTCCAGACTATCATCTACATCGATACCAAATTTCATCAAAATCCGTTCAAGCGTTCAGGCTACAAACTCTAACAAACATTCATCCATCTAAACTTTCGCATTTATAATATTAAGCGCCTGTCCCACTACTGGCTGATAGAGGCTCAAATAGCTTAAAAATAACGTGACTGTCAGATAATTAACAAAATCCGACATTTCCATCACATATTTTACACGTTGGATTATTATCAGACAATTTACAATTTGGTGGAACATGCCTTAAGTATGATAGTTATGGGTAAGAATGCTTGTACACACCTGTGACCTTGGGCAGGACGACCTTGTTGATGATGGTGGGCACCAGCAGCAGGTCGGGGTCGTCTCGCAGCGCAGCCTCGCTCAACCCCGCCCCCGCCTCCGCCTCCGCCTCCTCCTCCGACAGCTCAGACTCGCTGGACAGCCGCTCAGCGCGCACGCCGTACATCATCAGGCATCTGACACAATTAAATGTTTCAACTGGTAATAACATTATTTGCTATTGCTATTATATTGTAATATGCTGTTACATTTTTTTATCTACCTTCATCCGCGTGAAATTAAAAAATAATAAAAAAAACTGTCTACATTACTCACTGATAATGTTGTTTTTTAATGGTGAAAATCGGATCAGCAGATTTTAGGTTATTTCAATACATATAGAAAATCCAAAAATATAAATTCTTTTTCTTTATAATATTAGTATGGACAACTTTTTCTTTGGAACAATAATTATAAAAAACTCAAAATTACAAAAATTAGCGAATAATCAAATATAAATGCTCACTTGTACCAGTCCATCTTTTCATAATCCTCATTGTCTTCATCCGCCAATGGATTCCACAGGATCAACTGCAACAAATGCTCTATTAACATGGCGCGAAACGAGAAAACTAATAACAACAAACATAGTCTGGAACAACACCAAATAACTCCGTCCTCCAAATAACTCTATCATCCGCCATCTCAGTCATCACTCCCTTCTTGATCATGTTACCTTTCACGCAATCCATCTATCTCTTTCTAGGACTACCTCTACCCGTGTACCTCCTACATTCATAACTAACGTTAAGGATTATTTATTTTTTATTTATTTACACTTTGTAAAGAAAAACAATCTTACTAATTTTACTAATCTTACTAATATTATAAATGCGAAAGTTTAGATGGATGGATGGATAGATGGATGGATGGATGGATGGATGGATGGATGGATGTTTGTTAGCGTTTGTAGCCTAAACGACTGAACGGATCTCCATGAAATTTGGCACAGGTTTAGAGCATAGTCTGGAAGAACACATAGCCTACTTTTTATACCGGGAATAGTTACGGTTCCCGTGGGATTCATTAATTTAGTTTTTTTAATGTTTACTCGATCATTCTGCAACGGTACAACATATCTTATTGAAATTTGGCACAGATATAAAACAAAGTCTGGAGTACACATGGGATAAGCTTCATCCCCGAGAAATGTCCGGTTCCCGAGGGATACGGTGCTTTTTGTAATTTTTATAGTTTGTATATTTTCTAATACCACGCGTACGAAGTCGCGGGCAACAGCTCGTTTACAATAAATATATATTCAACGTTGGTTGTACAGGCGAGCATAACTTTTTTTTTATTTATTACCTCGTGTCGTATGTACGGCGCGAGCAGCCGCGGCAGGCAGTCGGCGACGTACGCGTCGCTGTAGAGCGCGGGCTGCGAGCGTCGCCAGCGCGAGACGCGAGCGCACACGCCGCGCACGCTGCGCCACGCCGGCAGCGCGTCCGCGAACACCTCACACGATAACTGACGGATCGCCTCTGGTAGCATACAATACAAAATAAAACTGTTAAGAAGCCCTTTTTTAGCATTTTTCACGGTATAAATTCGCATGCGAGGCAAACCGAACGGTCGTACAATGACTCCTACTCTTATTCCAGCCCCCCCAGTCACATCTCCATAGTAAAATTAAAATAAAAATCTTAGTAAGTCTTTTTAAATGGAACAAAGTTGACATTTTACAAATTATAACATTAGAGTGTGTATGTACGTATTTACCCGACGTTCTTACGGTGAAACATCGTGATGCCTGCACATATTGACGAAGAAATTCAAAGATATGTGTGAAGTCAACCCGCAGTGGGCCAACATGGTTCACTATGTCCTAGGTTCGAGCCTCTGAATGGGACGTATAGTGAGCTGGTGATGATGATGATGATGATGATGATGATGATGATGATGATGATGATGATGATGTAGGTATGTGCAGCACGTACCGGCCTCCTGCGTGTAGTGCTGCAGCTCGGCGGGCGGCAGGTCGTCGTCGCTGGAGTCTCCGTCGCGGTGCGCGGGCGCCGCCCCCGCCGCCGCCGCGCCCGCTTCGCGCCGCAACCTGCGCGCGCGCCGCCGCCCCTCGCGCTCCGCCGCGCGCCGTGTCTTCTCCTCGCTGTCCACCGGCTTCGCTGCACCGGGTCGAGCTGGAACAACAAACAACTTACTAGCTGTATCGCGGGGGATAAAAACACAATTAGTAGCCGTGTTCTTCCAGACTATGTTCTACATCTATGCTATTCCGGCAGATCTGTTAAGTAGTTCTGGAGATACGTAGTAACAAACATCCATCCATATAAACTTTCGCATTTTTAATATTAGTATAATAGTATAGATATATAGCAGGATGAGGCACAGTGCGGAGGTACCTGCGAGCGCGAGCACGTCCTGCGCCTGGTCGCGCACGTCGGCGCGGCGGCGCTCCACCAGGAACTCGCAGCGCCGCCGGTGCAGCTGCAGCGCGCGCGCCTCCAGCGCCTCCAGCTGCGGCATCTGCACACAGACACACATAATTGTCAAATTTACATAAAGCGCCAATAGCCCAATGGTTTGGAGTATGGACTACCGATCCTGCGGCCGATGGTTCGAATTTGGTTTGGTTCGCCATTCGACTATTGTCCTATGCGTCTCCTCCACCGTCAAATCCACTTTTCCTTCCCATCCTGTCCTCTTAAGAAAAGGGTGGAAAGGGAAAAGGACCAAAATTAGGCTTTCGGCATTACATAAATAGTAAAAAATCTGTATACCTTTTCATCGAGACATTCAACGAGGTCCGTGATGTATCCGCGAGCGGCCTGCGCGCGGCGGTACGCGGCGTCCAGGCGGCGGGTGCGCGCGGCGCGGGAAGCGCGCTCCCGCGCCCGCTGCAGCAGCCGCGCGCGCACCGCCTCGCCCCGCTCGCCCGTCGCCGCCCGCTCCCGGCGCAGCTCCTCCAACCTGGTACACACATTTCAATAAACACCGTCCACTCGTAAAACGATTATCTTATTTTGTTATTTTTTTTTTATTAAGATAAACCAACAGGACAAAATTATGACACATACATTTTTACACAATACAATAAGTAACATGCAGATAATTTGTCCTAATTATAGGTTTACACGACATACATAGAAAAATAACAACAATAACAACAGTAACAACAGTAGACAGAATATGTATTCATCTTTTTTTTTTTCTTTAAAATTAACTGACTTATAGAACTATCTTTCCTGCGGTAAATGTTTTTTTATTCAAATAATAATATTTTTTGAAATTACACCCCGCCACACCTTTTCCGCATTTTTTTTCATTTCTAGCTGCTATTCACAAGTTGGTGAACGTCAAGCAATTTGTGTATTTAGTCTGTTTTCTTGAGTTATTACAACACTAGGTTTTGTCTGCAACTCTGCATGGAATTAAATAAAAACTCTCTTCTCTATCTATCTCTATCTATGTCTTCTTCATCTATGCCAAATTTAATCGAGATAATTTTAACTCTAACAAACATCCGTCCATCTAAGCTTTCGCATTTTTAATAGTAGTTAGACTCTTAATTATCTACATTTTTATTATTAATATGAATATTTAGGTGGAGGATAGATGTTTTTCAAAACACATCTCCGAGACGCCTTAATAGATCTCTATGGAATTTGGAATAGATGAAGATATAGTCTGGAAGGACACTTCTTCCAGACTATCGTCTTCTACTTGGCGACTAGACTTTTGCTTTTTTTTTCACTCTGACGTAGTCGCGAAAGCTAGTAAGTTATACCTTGATTTGAGTGCTTGAAGTAGTTCGTGTGGTGTGGAGGGCGCGGTGTTGTCGGGGGTGAGCAGCGAGCGCAGATGCGGCGCGCTGTCGGTGCGCGGCGCAGTGGCCGCTACCGCGAACGGGTTCAACTCAGACTGTATCTCGCCTTATCAAAATAAAGTTTTTATAAAGATATATTTTTTTATAATAAAAATAGGTAATGAAGATAATTAACTATTTTACGTGTGTAGTATTTTTTTTTTGACTCATCTATATTAATATTATAAAGAAGGAAGATTTTATTGTATTTTTGTATGTATTCGATTCACGTAAAAACTACTAAACCGATTTTTCTATACTAATATTCGAAAGATAGAATTGTATTTTTGTATGTATTCGATTCACGTAAAAACTACTAAACCGATTTTTCTATACTAATATTCGAAAGATAGAATTGTATTTTTGTACATATTAAAATAACTCTAAAACTATTTCACCACCATTCAAACCAAAATTCTTTCACCATTAGAAAGGTTTATCTGTTAGTAACATAGGTTATACTTTTTTATTATTTTTTAACTTCACGAGAAAGAAGTCAGCTCTCTAAAATTCATCCAAAACTCACCAGTAATGTCTATGTTAGAAGGCATTGCCTTCTGTATTTGTTGTTTCTCCCATGCCTCATCTTCGCTGTCCAGCTCTTCTTCCGAGGCAGCCGCGGTCCCGCCTGGAAACAAAATCATCTTTTAGGTCACTTTGCACTAAATAGGGCCGAGGTACTTGTATATTTACATAATAATATACAGTCGCCTTCTCATGCAACGAACGTAAGCTGCGCTCCCACTTAGTAATATCCAATACCGAGACGTTAACACAGCTATTTGGGACATATTTGACCGACTTCCCAAAAGAAGGAGGTACTCAATTCGTCGATATATATATATATTCTTTTTAACATAAATTCATATTGGCTATTCTGCCTTTTTAGGTATACAACACATTATCGCTTTAAAGTTGGATACTGCTAATAAAGCTAACTGTACTTTTCGCTTATAAATACTTTGTAATAGTGTATTGTTAGAAATACTTACGTTTAGGTTTATCACTAGGCAGGACCAGTCCGCAGACTTCTATCCTGCCATCCTCGTCATCATCGTCACCCGAGCCATCGTCGCGGATGAGCCGTGAACCCGGAGTCGCCTCCGATCTGATCGGAACAAAGTCACCCAGTTCTCGAGCCTGGAAATACAAGTTATATATTCAAATATACTTCATAAAATATAAATATACTAGCTTTCGCCTGTGGCTCCATTCATGTAGAAAAAATAAGAAAATCTCAGTGTTCTTCCAGACTACCCTATATTTCATCCAGATCCATTCAGCCATTTAAGCTACAAACTCTAATATACATCCATCCATCCATACTTTCACATTTATAATTTAGTTAGAATATTTATTTATAATGTCAAACTGCTATTTTATCCCAAAATGTGAATTGTTTGTTGGTAACCCAGTAAAAAGTAATTTAAACTGAAGCTATTTGCTTTTATGCCCCACAGATATGAACACTTCAATACATTACACTTTTCACAATGTACATAAAGCAGGACCAGTTTTAGCATTTCTAGCATCCTGGGCTGGATTTCTCAGATGCCCCTTAACTGTAATACAAACCCACATGAAAAAGGGTGTCCGCGCCACCACTATATGTTCGGCGCCTCAGGTGGTTGCCCACCTTAATGCTGGTACTGTTTAATCAGGACTCTATAGTTGTTGTGTGTGACGACACATACAACCCGCACCCCAAAGTTGCACTTATAAATTACAAAACTGTAAGCACCAGAGGACACAAAGGAGAGTGTCGACATCGTCGGGTGTCATCTCTTAGTCCCTCACCTCTCATACCTGCTGTCTGGTCTTGCGCGCCGCGTGGATGAGCGCCGCATCGGGTATGTGGCCCGGCTGCGCGAGCACAGCGCGCACCGACTCTGCGCGGTACCGATGGAAACCCCTACTATCCTCCTCTTCCTCAATCTCATCATCAGACATGTCCCCGGTCCCCTCTGCAGCGAGTGCCTCACGTCCAGTCAGTATCAGCCCCTCTAGTGACCCTTTCTTCTTGACCTTCGGCTTGTCTCCCACATCATCATTGTCCATTGTGTCCTGGATATCATTAGAGCATTATTACCATAAATAAATGAGATTATATCAACTACTCTTAAGAAATAAGTAGCATATCTTATGAGATCTTTAAATAGGTGGTTGTTAATTAGATTAAAAGTAAACTACTTTAGCTTCATAAAAAACTTATATAACAATAACAGTATATCTTAATTATCACATTTATTTTCATGGTTTCCTTATTCCATACAAAAACAGAATACATGTTGACTAAAATGTGTTGAAATATGTTCTTACAACACATTTTAGTCAACTCAAACTTTGAGTAATTCTTATAGTATGTTTTTATGTTAGAATAAATGTTGTATACATAATATGTTATGTGTTCTGTGTCTATGTAAACATTACCTCAGGCGTATTATTGTCATATTTGTTATTATCACCATCAGGAACACGGTGTTTCTCCTTCTCACGCCGCTTTGCAAGTTTCTTGCTCTGGGATGATTTTTTTACTTTAAAAACCTCTCCATCATCCTCTGTTACAACATAAGATATACACAATAAATTTTATTCCATAAAATACATTAATTAAAGAGCAAAAGTTAATCAAGTGGAAAAATTAATAAAAATTGTTTCAAGAGTAAATTGTTAAAGTTGATTTTCAGTACATCCAGGATTTCATTGCTCCTATTTAATTAAAAAAGTCATTTACATTTAATGAAATAAGATTTTAGCATCTATGTTTTTTACAATCCAAACATATAGTTTACAGAAACAATAGTACAACCAATAATTGTTTTGTTATGAATAAAGATGTTTTAGCATATGTTTAGCTATGTCAAGTATTGTAAAAGAACATAAAACAATTTTCTTTTCAAACATAGCTTTACTATCGGTTTCAAAATACTAATAATTATTAATTACTTTTATTACAGTGATCAGCGAAACATTACATTTAGGTTATAAGTAATTAGGCAAATTATTCGAGGTTAAGGACAAACCTTCATCAGCAAAACTCAATAATGTAGGATTTTTAACAGGTTTGTTTTCTTTTTTCTGGCTGATGATAGGCGGCGGTGGTGGTTCAGGATCGCCGTCATCATCATCGTCAGCGCAAAAGACGCGTCGTTGAATCTTCTTTGGTTTACGAAATAAGGACATTATTTTGTACTAAATTAGACAAGTGATACACAATTAGAATTAGCTGAAATATAGCTTTTACTATTTAATTCCAAGAGATCAAATAATAATTAGTAAGAGATTTGCTATTCAATTATTTTTTATAATTATTTAATGCAATGAATATATGAATACAAATTCACAATTCCTGAAATGACAGTTGACTAATGTCAAAGTCAAACTGCCATGTTTTTTTATAATCTTTGATAGATCACTATGGTCAGATTTCACAGATGTACCAGTAGTACTAGTGTTGTGTCTTTTTATCACAAAGCTAATTTTATCAGAGCTGGTTCATAGTTATTTTTTTATAATACGAGGACAAACGAGCAACGAGAACATTACAGTGGTCATCTCCAGCTATCTGCAATAACAGCAGATGCTGCAGATATATTGCTGTTGGATAATTATTGTGTCCCATATGCCCATTTCAAATCAAAACGGTAATTTTGTTTGTTATGATGATGCGTTGATATGTATATAGCTTTTGGGTTTAACGTTAAGTTAAGGCATTATAAAATATAGAAGGCTATTTTTTTAACATATTCTTTAAATAACAATAAGAAGGAAATAACCGGTGATTTTTTGAGTTGCCATACAAAAAAATAACTAAAACGGTCTGACATTGCGCGTCCAACACTAGATCTGTCTTTGTGTCTCACGAACGCACAAGTTCTGTGCGTTTTTGTGTTTGGTCTTGGTAAGTTGTCTTAAATCTATATTTATTTTCGTAATCTCTTATAAAATCTCATATTGTTATGTGGCATAATGATCCTTGTTATGTTTAGTGCAAACAATGTGCAATATTTAAAGGAAATCTATAAAATGTGCCCTTTCTCAAAAATGTGATTTTCTTCTAGTCCTTAAATTTCTCCGAAGTCCCTACTTCACTCATCAAGATGGGTAGGGAGGACAAGGCTACTTGGAAGACTAACTACTTCACCAAAATCATCGTAAGTTTATTTTATTTCAGTCGACGTTTACAAACAATATGTCTGTCCTAATACCAGAGAGCACATAATTGGTTCTCTGGCTTCGCTTTCAGACTACATCAACGTCTTCAAATTTATCCTAGTGTGATAGTTTCAATACATATTAACATTGCACTGGCATTTTGGAGATACAAGTTAACTCTTTGACAAATTTTGGAGGCAATTAGTTGAAACTACTTTTCATCACAACAAACTGTTAAATTTAGCGTTTTTATTATTTCAGCAACTCTTAGACGAGTATCCAAAATGCTTCTTAGTGGGAGCAGACAACGTGGGTTCGACCCAAATGCAGCAGATTCGTATCTCTCTGCGCGGGCACAGCATCGTGCTAATGGGCAAGAATACGATGATGCGTAAAGCTATCAAGGACCACCTGGATAACAACCCTGCTCTTGAGAAGCTTTTGCCACACATCAAGGGAAATGTCGGTTTTGTGTTCACCCGCGGAGACTTGGTGGAAGTGAGTAATAATATAACATTAATTATGTTTGTAGCATAGTCCTAATTTATTAAACCTAAGTTGAATAAGACACTGGCTGGTTCATGTCTGCTTGTGTAGCAGTAGTACATCAAGTTGCCAATTAGTTTTTGAGCCAGTTCAAACCTAATTTACTTATCTAATTGATAAGAACTGATAATAATTTAATGTATAAGTTATTTGTTCGTCTTCACATTATTTATAGAAAAATGTTAATTGTATTTGTTAATTGTTAGGTGCGTGATAAACTTCTGGAGAACAAGGTGCGTGCGCCCGCCCGCCCCGGCGCCATCGCGCCGCTCTCCGTAGTTATCCCTGCACACAACACCGGTCTTGGCCCTGAGAAGACTTCCTTCTTCCAGGCCCTTTCCATCCCCACCAAGATTTCCAAGGGTAAGAATAAGCTATCTACAAAATTCATGGAATACAAGATTATTAAACTTGAAGATGTAACATGCCTCTCCATTTCTATGTTACTTCAACTAAACCCTAGAATGCAAATTTATAATTAATATAATATTGTAAGGTACAATTGAAATCATCAACGATGTGCACATCCTGAAGCCTGGAGACAAGGTGGGCGCCTCCGAGGCCACACTACTCAACATGTTGAACATCTCCCCCTTCTCGTATGGTCTGGTTGTCAAACAGGTGAGATATGCAGCTATGTTTTAAAACTTTATGGTTCTATAATATATCTCGCGCAAGTATGAAAAAGGTATAATATAAATATATATTTTAAGCAGGATTGATAGTCAAGGGCTGTTTACTACCATCCAAAGTGTTGAGTACAGTCTGCATAATGTAATGCATTCTGATAATTTATCTTTGGTATAGTAGTTGCTGCATGGATATAAAGTTTTTCTGTTTGAGAACAGAAATATGTTCTATTAGCAGACATTTTATTATTTAATTATTTTGTATCAATAAAAGATTCCCACTAAATTTGTAACAGGTTGGCATTAGATTACTACACAATTTTTACTTATCAAAGAATAGGTATGACTCTTGACTTTGTCTGTGTGGAATTGAATTACGATTTTTTATGGTCAACTTGTAGGTGTATGACTCTGGCACGATCTTCGCGCCGGCCATCCTGGACATAAAGCCTGAGGACCTGCGCGCCAAGTTCATGGAGGG